AGATCCTCGCGCGCGCCGTCCAATCCGAGAGCACCTTGAGCTCTTCCTCAGCGTTCAATAGTCGCAAGAACTCGCCGCCGCCGCCGCCGCCGCCTCCTCCGCCACCGATGCAGCTTGGTGGCAAAGCTGGCGGCGCCATCGTCGCGCTCATGCGGGCCGCGGGCGCGCGCGGCTGGGGCAGCAGGACGCTGTAGGTGAAGAAGGAGGCGGAAAACATGGAAGGTGCCTTTCCTCGGCAAGAGCCTCTTCCACCTTCGGACGGTCTCCGTTTGGGTAAACCAAAAGAGAAATCATTTTTTGAAACGGTTGCCCGGCCGGGTTGCTGCGCAATTCTCGCGCTGCGCTAGGCTCAGAGCGAGTTTCTTGTTGGTTTTCTAAAATCTCTCCGGAACGCCAAAAACTACTTCTTCGAGTGAAAAGTAATCCGAGCAAACCCGCGGCCGCAAGGCAATGAATTAAAGGGGGGGTTTCGAGGGGGAATCTGGAGAACCTGGGAATCTGCTCACCACTGAAATGGCACAACCGAATAGGAGCAAGAGGCCAGGCAGGGGCCGCATCGGAGCGAAGAGTGCAATATACGTTTTACCCAAAAACGAAACGGAACACGAATCTCCAAACCAAAAAGGGATGAAATCCCTTATCGGGAAACATGGCAGCGTACCCGGAGGAGAAGATCGTCACATGCCCAACCGGCATATTCGGAAACTTGCTCGGGTCCTCCAACGCCATCCTGAAGGCGGCGTGCGCCGCGTCTGACGCTGACATGCCTCGGGTCGACATGAGAAGCTGTGTGCGTTTTACGATTTTGCGTTCATCGGTCAATGTGAGCGTGTCCGTGCGTTTCTCGGCCCGCGCGCCGTGCATGCTCAGAGTGTGGTTGAGCCCCGAAAACAGGCGCAGGTAGTAGTCTTCCTCGTTCATGTACTCCGGCCAATGGACGTCGCACACCTTATGGGGGCATCGCTGCTCGAACTCTTCCGACGGCATGGCCGGGCAGGCGCGGCGCCCCGCGACTGCATCGGAGGACTCGCGGTCGCTGCCGAGGTCTTTGGTTGTGAAGAGAAGTGCGCGTGCGCAGCGCTCCCCCATGGAGTAGGTTGCCATGCCGATGAAGCCGTAAAGCCGTGGGTTGTGGTAGGTGTCGGATGAGTACGAAAATATGGGGAAGTCGGGACGCTCATCCAGGCAGGCGTTGAGAGCGTTATCGATGCGTTCGTATTCAGCAGAGCCCTCGAGGTAGGGGAGGTAAAACAAGATGGCGCCACCGTTGCGCTGCTGGCAGGCCTCGTGAATACTTGCCTCATATCGATCGACATCCATCCCGTTCGTTTCTGCAATGCCCAATGACAAGAATTTGAACCGAATGCCCGGCGTCAAAGCGGCCGCGAGGCCAGCCTCGAATGCAACATACCACGGGGAGGCCTGGGCGTCTCGCACCTCTGGACTTAGTTCAGTGATCACGTAGACCACCTCGTTGTCTGGCGACGGCAGGTCGGGCACCACGGGGTCGGGCACCACGGGGTCGGGCACCACGGGGTCGGGCACCACGGGGTCGGGCGCAGGGTTGAACGGAGCAAAGAGGGCGCCGCGCGCAGTCTCGAACACCGACTCGAGCAAGGAGCCGCCCCCCTCGTCGAAAGTCGGGGCGAAACCGTGCACGAGCATTGAAGCCGAGAGGAGGACGAGAAGTTGCAACATGGTGACTTGCAGTCGGGAGCCGTGGAGCGGAGAGGAAGGTGCCTACGGACAGCACGCAGTGCGCGTGAGCGTTGCGACGAGGCCGCCGCAGGCGGCCTCGGGGCGTCCACGGCGCTCGGACTGGAGCCAGGTGACGAGTGTGTTGCCGGAAGAGAGGGTGGGGGCGTCCGGCGCGCGCTGCACGAGCAAGATGCTCTACCGTAGTGTTGCCCGTCGTCGAGAAGTTTACTCCCCGAAACTCCTCTCTGTGATTGCGCGTCGACAATCACAGCTTCTCGTGTGTCGTGAGGAGTGTGCTCGCTGCTCGTGAGAGGCGCCGCCCGGCCGCTCTGAACCGCTGGGAATATTTATCTAAAGAGGACGCATCCAAACCGCCGCATTTCGCCCGCCGAAAAGTCTCCCACTCGGCTCGCGCCCCGTCCCCAAACCCAAATCGTCTCACTCACTCGACAAGAGAGTTATACATACCGGGTACTTCGTACATACTTTTGCTTCAAGCCCCTCTGCCTCTCCCGCAGTACACCCAGGCTAGGGACAGAACCACTCAGAGCAGAGGGACTGCGCCCCTCGCCCGATGCCTCGCGCTCGCCCCCCATACGACGTGCCCCGCTTTGCCCCCACCCCTCTCTCGTGAGTGGCAATATTTGACTATGACGCCGCGCCCCCGGACAAGACCCTGCCCACCTCTCAAGTTCACTAAATTTTGATCTCTTGCGCACTCACCAACAATAAATCCCAACCT